GAGTCTCTAGTAATTCAAATAGACTTAAATATATACTTTCTTTACTAAAGAAAAAAGGGTTCCAAAAAGTAAAAGAATCAATTTGTGAAATGTTACCTTTTAAAACTAAAAGCAATATAAAGATAGAGGTTTTTGTGATATAATAAGACTTATTATTTATTTTCTCATTTATTATTTTTAACTTTTTTAGAATCTTTACTGTTTTCATAATTCTTTAAAGAAATTTTATTTATCCAACTTGATCCTGAACTTTTAATAGTATAATGTCATCTAATATCTGATTGGCTAATATGAAATATATTAATAGCAAGATATAAACAAGCTTTTATGATTATATTCATATATTCCTAATTAAAAAAAGAAATTATTGGTGTTTACTCTTCAATTTCTTTAAATAAAGTATAATTGAAGCAAAAAATACCATAAAACTATTAGAATAGATACTAAATTTTCTAATTAATAAAAAATAAATTATTTGTTTAAGCTAAGTTTTTCAACTTTTTATTATTTCAATTAAATAAAGTATATTAATAAAGTTATTATCTTATTCTAATTAAAATATAAGATTAAAAAGCAAAAGATTATAAATTACTACTCTTCTTTAGAATTGAGAATAAATTTTTCTAAAAACTACAGTATATAATAATATAATAATTGACAAGAAATATATTACTTTTTAAGACTCTTCTATTATTATAAGATAAAAAGATTATTGGAGAACCTAACTTTTTGAATAATAGAAGATATTTATTGGTGAAATTCCTTTAATTAAATGGAACTGCTAAAAAATATTAAAAGTAGCATAATATAATTATAAAGCTATATAAAAACTTGGATTTATTATAAGTCATATAATTATATAAGTAGATAAAAATAAATACCAAAGAAAAAAAAATATTAAACAGGATATTAAATCTAATAGATAATAAATATCTTAAATATTTATAAAAATAATTAATATTATAGATAAATAAGTTTATCAAATAGTTAAAAAAATCTTAAAAGAGTTAATTTCTAAAAAGAAAAAGTTTCTAATAGAGGTTTTTTAAAAGATATAAAGTATTTTCATTTTATTTTTTCTTTTTATTTTTATATAATACAAATTTTTTTTTAATTGATTATACTAATTGGGTTTTATTAATCAGATTTTATAAAATATATAGATTGTTTTACAAGAGCAATTCTTATAACTTCTAGCCTATACTATCTTAATCTAATGCAAACTTCATAATTTTATTTATTAAATATATCATTTTATCAGTTATCCTGCTATGTCTAAACTATCTGATTTTTTGAAGATCTATTGAAAGACTTTTTTTTTTATTTAAAGAGCTATTTTTAAAATGTATTTATTTTATAGAATATCTATTTATCTTATATAAAATATGTTCAAATCTTAATTAATATTTTATATCATATTTAATCCTCAAATGCTGATTATTTATTAATATCCTCAATCTCTATACAGTCTTATATAAGTTTCATGGTAATCATTTATAAGCCAGATTAATAATTGGAGCTTTCAGTAACTATTTTTAACTATTCTTTAAATTTAGCTTTAAGATATTTTTCTTGATCAAATAAGATCTTTAATCTTTTTTAAATATATCAATTAATCCCTATAAGTATCCAAGTACAACTATTCAACTTTATCATTCTTTATTGACTATTCACAAGATACATTCTTTGATAACTATTGATGATTATCATGACTTCTTTTTCTAGTACTAAAACTGAAAAGACTTGTGTGATCTAATTTATTATACTATGATCAGGTAATAAATTTGATAGATCATCTATATACAAGTATGCATATGACTAATGAGTATGTTTCTTGCATAATGTAACCTATATTGCGAGAACTATTTTTAAGTAGAATTGAACTGATAACTCATAAATAGTGACCTGTGAGTACATTCACTATACTATTGTTTTACTGATTATAGTATAATTGTATATTTTAAATATTCTCTTATTTTTTTATTTTTTTTTTCTTCTTTTATAGTTTCTTGAAATTAATTTCTTGAAAAATAATTGGTAGCAATAACTTGTTAATAAGAATATATAGTATAAGCCAAAAAAGTATTTATTTAAAACCAATTACAAAATAAAATATTGTTCTCAAGATTATATTTAGAGGCTAAAATTTATTTGAAAATTGAAAGCCATTAATAAATATGTTAGTATAAAATTTAGTTTAGTCATAATATAATTGTTCTATATATTTTTATTGATTTTTTTAAAAATTAATAAACATATTATGCTAAACTAATCATGAATTTAAAAAATAATAATAATAACTTATAAGTTGTTCTATTTTAAATAATATTAAATTAAAGTTTTTTTTTATATTATTTTCTTTGTAAAATTTTCTTTATTACTAATTTAATTAAGAGCTTGAAAATTTGATATTAAACTTATTGTAAATCAATATATTTAAGAAAAATTTTTTTTTGTAAAGTAAAATTAATATTATAAAAAATTATTATAATAAAATATTTTAAAGTGTTTATAATAATTGTAAATTATTACATATTATTATTCTTTTCACTGATTCTCTAACCACACACAAAAAAAATATTTACAAGAAGTCAATGTACTTCTTGATAAATAAAGTCTTATCACTCTTCTTAAACCAACTTAAAGAATACTTTAAAAGTCATCCACACTTTCTCCTTACACTGTTTATATTTCTTTCTTAACAAAAACTGGATTTCAATGATCAAAATCTAGAAGATAGCTTTCCTATCTATGGCAAGAAAGTTCTGAAAGAAAGAACTAATATTCTGTTACTTATCTGGTATATAGAAAAATACTACAAAGTTGTATTATAATAAGAAAGTTAATTTTCTACTTTCTTTTCCACTGTATGGACTTTAATAGTACTCTTTCTTGGTTTTTTTTTCTAAGAAATTTTATTTATCTCAATTTGATCCTGAATTTTAAATAGTACAAAGTTTCTTATAAACTGATTGATCCAGTAAAATCACATCAGTAAAAGAATATAAACAAACTCTTATTGGTCACTCTATATGTCTAAATATATTTCTTCAGCTTCATAAAAACTTGGAATCCATTATAAGTTATATGTCTATAGCATAGGTAGATATAGGACATGTTATTGATACATTTTTGAATATAAGAAAGAGTTCATCTGATTATAATAAAGGTCATAAGAACTCGATTAACCTTTTAAAAATTAGAGTTACCTACTCTTGATTGTATATCAAGTAGGTTCTTACTCCTACGGTTCAAAAAAATTTAATAGAAAAAATAAAAAATAATTAGAAACACTTAGCGATAAAGCAGTAAATCAAGAAATTTTCATCCTATATTCAAAAAACCTTAAGTTGGAAGACTGAAAGATTAATATTATTATACCAATTGAAACTCGAGTCTGAAAATATCAATAGTAATATGTAAGCTGATTGGATAATCTAGAAGATCCTTGTTGATCACTAATACTAATAGCCACTAGTAGAGTATGCCAACCATGAGCTAGATGCAGTCCTTATATAAGGAATTAAATCTGAAATATATTGCACAGATAGGTAAGTATACTTATATTTGAATAGGAATGGGTTTAATTAATAATATACTGTGAGAATTTCAAGTCATTCATATGAACATCACTATATCATCTGGACCTTCCTAATTATTTCTTCCTTACAAGTTTTAAAACTGTAAAGTCTTCTTTTTTTATCACTATCTTATTTCTGTAAAGATTCAGTAGAAGCTTTTCCAGATTACTATCAAGAGGAGGATCCAAAAAACAGGATAGACATTTACTAAGAAACATTATAGTTATCCTTTCAATATAGTACATGACCATTTCTTTTATTTTTCTTTCAACAATACCAGCATGCTCAATGTGATATTGATTTCTTTTATCAAAAAGAGAGCAATAAGCCTTAGCTTATTGAATTCTTTATTTATCCCAAATATACATCCCTGTACATGCACATTGTGCAATGTATAAATGTAATTTGAAAATTAATAAAGATTAGGTATTAGTCCATTATAATATATATATATATTTGTAAATTGTTTTTTCTTCTGCAGTAGTAACTGCAGGCAATGATGTTCATAGTAGAAGGGTATTCATCCAAACTATAAACTGAGCGACAAATCACTTTCAAAGTTGTACTTAGAGTTTAACAATAAACTAAGATGAGTGAGTTAATTAGAATTTTAGCTTTAGCAACACTGTAAATAGTATAGCCTACATTATGTTTAATAAAGCACTCATAATTAACCTGACAGTGGGTAAAAAATAAAAAATAAAAAATGTAAATTGTTTTTTCTTATTGTATGACTTGTATAATATAAGTATTGTCTAAGTTAACTTTTCTTTTTCAAAGAAATTATCAAAAAAAAATAAGAATTAGCAAAATGAGTTTTTTCAAAAAACGATTTTTAAATTAATAATAAAAATCCAGTATATAATAACTATAAATTTTTTGATTAAATAAATAATTTATATATACTGTATACTGTATATCTTCGATTAAAATTTTTTTGTCAAATAAAAAATAAAATAATAAATTCATTATTAAAATCTTTACGTATATGAATAAATTTTCTATTATACTGTATAAACTTAATTTAATAATATTAATTTATTATATAAAATTTATCCGAGTAATATACACGTTCTAATGGGAATGTAACTGAATTAATTTACAATCTCAGAACATTATTCATTCGAACAATGAGAAGATCCTGAATTTTAAAGATAAAATTGAGGAAGAATTGCCTCGCGTTTTATGGGTAAACATTAGTTAAGTTAATAAATTACAGAACAAAAGATAAATATTTTATGTCCAATCTATGGATACAAAATTGACAAATTCCTATTTGAGGTCATATTGTTTAAGTTGAATAGTTTCTATTTGCAAACAATAAATTAATTACAAAATTTGGATATTAAGTAAGCGCCAAATCCCACAAAAACTACGCCAACCGTCCCCTACAATATATGAAAATTTAAATTAGTATATTTAATGAGACTAAATTAAAAATAATGCTAAGTTGTTTCTATTTCCATTTTTTAGACAAAGAAACTTTCATTCAGTTTCCATACTATTATAATAATTATTACCTTGACAAGAATTTTTTTATATTCTTTCTTATTCGATTTCTCAATTGAATCAATGGTAACACCGTTTAAAACATCTCCAACGTCCCACTCATTATCAGTCCATTCCGAATCTTTGACGGTTGACTCTTGTTTCTTGTGCTGATTAAGCGGTCTAAATCGGATACTATTAAAACCTTTCACGGAATGATTTTCCGTACTCTTTATACTTCTATAAGTTTCAAACCCTGATTGTTTCTCTTTCCTCCACAATTCGAATTCCGTTTTAATCTCAGCATTCTCCTTTTTTAATCCCTCGTTTTCAATCAAAGCCTTTTCTAGTCTACAATTAAGACTCTCGTTCTCATTTGCTATTGAAGATATTGTTTCCTGTGCCGCACTTAATTGTTTTTTTACTGTGTCCAACGCACTTAGAGTTTCCTTTCTGAATTGCGAAAACTGATTTAAAAAGTCCAATTTCTCTTCTCGAAGGATAGTAATCTGATTTTCTTTATTCGCAACCAGTGATGCATGCTCCGCGTTGAGCCTGCTAACCAAAGACTCATGATCAGTGGCCATCTTTTCATATTTTGTCTTTAAATCAAAGAGTTCGACAAAAACATTTGTTTGGTGAACTTCTCTCGGATTATCCAAGTTAATATGACTTGAATTTAATGGATTCACTGGAAGGGATTGTAGTCCATCCAAGTTTCCTTGAGGTGTTTTCATTTTCAATTGCTTAAAATCCTCGGCATCGGTTTCATGTAGAGAATGAATTCTTTCAAGTTCTTCATGGGCATGATTCAATTGATTGACCACATCAGAAATTTGTTGATTTAATACTTCAATTTTCGACTCGTGCCGAAGCTTTATATTTTCCAACTCACTACGTGTCATTTCTAGTTGTGAAACCACTTCTGTTATCTGAAGACGCATTTTTTCCACCTGATCAGAATGAATCGCTTGCTCTTCGGTCAGTTGTTCTCTTGTACAAGCTAATTGGCTTGATAATTCTCTAATCTGATATTCCGTGTCAGAAGATTCTTGGAAATTCTTTGATTGCGTTTCCTTTAAATTGTCGTCCAAAATTTTTTCTTTTTTTTCGATTTCACATTTTTCCAAATGTGCGTTAAATTTTGCTTGTGTTTCCTCAATTTTTTGTAAAAGAGGTAAATTGCTATCTGAATACAACTTTATTCCATATTAAAGAAAACAATAAATTGAGTTGTTAGTTTCTAATATCTTGAAGAAATAACAATAAATCAAAAGGTCCTTACTTTATTACTTTTGTTTTCGATAGTTTTGCTCATGTCACCAAGAACATTACTTAATTCTACTAGACGACGGTTCTCATCACGAGCGCAATGTAATTCAGACTGCAAAATTTCGGCAAAAATCAGTAAAATACAATTTTAAAATCGAAATCACACCATTTAAATCTACTTACCTCCAAGGTCGCGTAGATAGAATCTTCAGAATTAAACAACCGGCTTGACCCTCTTTTATGGACAGACTATACATATTCAAAATATCTTCAATTTCAAATCTAATTCACTTGCAACGTAGAAAAAATTTATTTGAAATAATTTACCTCACCTCTGCAATGAAAACGTTGGTGAATTAAAAAGTTTAAGAAATTTTAGAAAATTGTTTATGAATTC